CCTGTCAGTTTGAATGGGGAAAGATTGACATGCTTGTCACGATTACTGTGGTAAACATGAGATCATCCTCGACAGACTGAATCGAACATTTTATTCCAGCATCTCTGCATTGTCTGGGTGTAATTCCACTCAGTGATGTCATGATGATGATGACGATGATGATGTCATGTGCTGGGCTGCGCTGTCTTCTGTTTGCACTGATGCTCGTGTCGTCCAGCGTTCATGTACCTGACGTCAGGCAGCGCTGGGATTGGTCGTGTCGCTGGACGAGTTCGGCATCCGTCTGCTCTATTATTACATTTATGCGTTTGCCAGATGCTTTTATCCAAATCCACTTGCTTTGCATTCATGGCACACTTTTGATGCATTCCCAAATAAAATATTCATAGTGTATATTATAATGTGATTAGGTGTAGCGACCATTGTGTATCAAAACAAATAAAAACAATTTTAAATAATGGTTATAGAACATACATTTATATATTACCAAACACTTTTTTGCTGAAATGATTGAAACACTGTTATTAATATCATTGCACAACAACAAGTAAACACACACACACACACACACACACACACACACACACAGTGACCTTTACTCTGATTCCGAAGCATCCGAAGCGTGCGAGTGTGTGTCAGTGAGCGGCTCGTGTTCTGGAGCTGGTCATGTGACTGACCTCTTCAGACGCTGCCCTTTAAAACATGTAATCGTCATAACTCATCATCATGAGCGGATCCCGAACGTGTGGAGCGAGTGAACAGTGTGTTACACCGAACTCTGAGCGACAGCGGGAATGCTGCAAAACGCACAAACGCACATAAATCCACGATCCCTGGATCTGTGTGAGGTGTAAGGAGCACTATATCGAGTCCAAGCTTTAGTTTAAACTGATAATCGTTCGTTTCTCCTGTTAAATCAGATCAGCTCAGTGTCGCCGCGTATCCTCTACTGCGCTGGTGAAGGGTCATAGAGGCTCTCGTGAAGGCAAAAACACAGCAGTTCTGCATCATCTCTCTCTCTGTGTGTGTGTGTGTGCGTGCGCAGGTGTGGTCGAAGGCGATCTGCCGGCGGTCGAGGCCTATAAGTCGTCAGGCGGTGACATCGCGCGTCAGCTGACGGGTGACGAGGTGCGTCTGCTGAACCGGCCCTCCGCCTTCGACAGCGGATTCACACTCGTACACCTCGCCATACGCTTCCAGAGGCAGGACATGCTGGCCGTGCTGCTGACAGAGGTGTGTGTGTGTGTGTGTGTGTGTGTGATCAGCTGATCGCTGGATTGTTTGAATGAGATTGTCCTGATGTGTGTGTGTGTATTTAAAAATCATTACGTATAGCAAAACAAACCTGTGTGTGTGTGTGCGTGTGTGTGTGTGATCGCAGGTGTCCCAGCGCGCAGTGAAATGCATCCCAGCGATGGTCTGCCCTGAACTGACGGAGCAGATCCGCAGAGAGATCAGCGCATCACTGCACCAGCGCAAGGGAGACTTCAACTGCTACTTCCTGACTGACCTCGTCACGTTCACACTGCCGGCAGGTGGGACACACACTCACACTCACACTCAAACACACACTCACACACACACTTAGGGCTGGGCAAAAAAATCGATTTTTCGATTAATTGTTTTTTAAAATGTGTTCGATTCAAAATCGATTTTCAACGGCCGGAATCGATTTTTTCCATAAAGGGCTCGCGGACGCGGTGCTGCATCTTCTCGTCTCTCTGCACTAGGCAAGCGCTGCAGCTGTCGATACACACACGCGTTCAGGAGTCGGGACATGACGTTTATCGTAACTAACGTTTATCATTTATCATGTCTTTTTGAGTTTTACAAGCAATGTTAACCATCCCGTGCTCGCGCACTCTCAGAGATGTCTTTCACTGCGTGCACAGCCTAAATCCGCCTCACAAACAGCTCGCCAGAAACAAAAGTTTTATCCCTGGATTATATCACTTTAACAGTTAAAACACGCGACATTATGTCAAAACTCTGGTCTTGGTGAGTAACCTCGTAAAGACAGTCGGTAATGTCTTAAATTAGCATTAAACGCGTGTGACAGAAAGTTAATGAAACACAGTAATGGATTCGCACACTAGTTCTTAAAGTGAACGCAGCCATTTGTGTCGGTCATTAATTCTGTTGTCATAACAACAGAATATAGTATTAATTGTAAGCAATCAGAATTAATAGCCTTTGTATTTAATTCAGTCTGGACTAAAAAGACTATCCAGTGTTATTTTACATTGGATTACTTTATTCAGTTTCTGTAGTATTTCTGACATACCCAAAAAACTGCCCCAAAATGTCTCTTAATTTGTGTCTTTATTCTATTGTATTTATTTGTGCTACTTTTTTCAATTTAATTCAAAGATTGAAATCAAGCTACCATACATAAACTCTTAAAACAAAAATAAACAAAAAATTACATTACCATTTAGGTAAGATCAATGTAAAAAAAATGTCTAAATATTTATATATTTGTTTATCTATATCTATCTTAAACATAAAATAACATGATACTGTTTGATCAAGCTGTGCGACTGTTCTGACTTTTTTTGCATATTGCATCAAAATCCTGTTTATTCTCTGTATGCATTTAGTGTACCTAAAATAAAAAGAGTTTTATATGCAGGTTTATAGCTCTTAATTTCTTTGTATTAATTAACCACTAGTAAACTTATGTCCACTGTTCTTTTTTATAAATATAGGATTTATATTACATCTTCATTATAGTCGAATCGAGAATCAAATCAGGAATCGAAATCGAAAATTGAATCGAAATCGAATCGAGAATCGAAATCGAATCGAACTGAGAGCTTGTGAATCGAAATCGAATCGAAATTGAAATGTGAATCGATACCCAGCCCTACTCACACTCAAACACTCAAACACTCACTCACGATGGCGTCTGTGTTTGACAGATATTGAGGATCTTCCTCCTGCCGTTCAGCAGAAGCTGTTTGATGAAGTTCTGGACCGAGACGTGCAGAAGGGTGAGGCGCTGCAGGCCTGTTATTACAGCAGGGTGTGTGTGTGTGTGTGTGCAGTGTTCCTCACGCAGTGTGTGTGTGTGTGTGCAGAGCTGGAGGAGGAGTCTGCGGTCATCAACTGGTCTCTGGAGTCGGGCTCGCGTCTGGACTCGCGTCTCTACGCCCTGTGGAACCGCACCGCCGGAGACTGCCTGCTGGACTCGGTCCTCCAGGCCACATGGGGCATCTGTGACAAAGACTCCGTGCTGAGGAAGACCCTACACGACAGCTTACACGACTGCTCGCACTGGTGTGTGTGTGTGTGTTCATGCACAGATTCTCTCGCTGTATCTGATTTGTTTAGATAACTGATTTAATGACGAGGATGTGTGTGTGTGTGTGTGTGTGCAGGTTCTACACTCGCTGGAAGGAATGGGAGTCGTGGTATTCACAGAGTTTTGGGCTTCATTTCTCTCTGAGAGAGGAACAGTGGCAGGAGGACTGGACCTTCATCATCAACCTCGCCAGTCAGGTACACACACACACACACACACACACACACACACTGACAGTGTTTCTTTTAGCAGAATTTAGCCTGTTTTTATGATTGTGTGTGTAATATGATCTCTGATGTGATTCCTAGAGGTGTTTCTTTGGTCTTAAACTGTTTTGATTACGACTTACACACACACACACACACAGTGCATCAGTGTATGACGCGTGTGTGTTGAATGTTCGGGTCCGTGATGTGTTGCAGCCCGGGGCGAGTCTAGAGCAAACACACATCTTCGTTCTGGCTCATATCCTGCGGCGGCCCATCATCGTCTACGGGGTGAAGTACTACAAGAGCTTCCGGGGAGAAACTTTAGGGTTCACTCGATTTCAAGGTGAGCCGTTCAGAAGAGATCTGCAGTGTCTTATAGAACACACACAGCTGTGACTCGTGTGTGTGTGTGTGTGTCCAGGTGTTTACCTGCCGTTGCTATGGGAACAGAGCTTCTGCTGGAAGAGTCCGATTGCTCTCGGTTACACGAGAGGTCACTTTTCTGCTCTGGTCGGCATGGAAACGGACGGTTGTGATAATCGTGGTGCAGGCGCCAATCTGAACACCGATGAGGACGTGAGCGTGACCTTCCTGCCGCTGGTGGACAGCGAGAGGAAACTACTACAGATACACTTCCTGTCAGCACAAGAGGTAAACACACTCACACACACACATCAGGCTTGTGCAAAATTTAGGATTTCAGAATTGGCCTCCATTCAATTCATGAATTGGAATTTGAATTGAATTGACTCCGCCCCCCAAGAAGTGGCAGGAAGTGGAATTAAATTCATGGCAATTCAAAGAAATTCCACACAGTCACAGAACAGAAAGAATGTGTTGAGTCTCACATAGGGGAGAGCGGGGCACAACGTAACGCTTCTTGACTTTCTCAGTTTCTGTGCAAGTCTATTTAGAGTATTTATTTTTGCCCACATTAATTTCCCACATGTCTAGAACAATTATTTGGTTTTGTTTTACTAATACAGTGTATACTTTTTTCTTGATTTACCCTGAAAGAAATGTTAAATGTGACAACATGCCCCATAGGTGGGGTACATTGTAACATCACCATATGACAGCTTAAAATGCTATCTCACCTAATCAAAAAATTATACAAGTCAAACCAAAATTATTAACTTTTTCATATAAAATAATGATATTTTTTTAATAATTAAAAATAATCTAATTTTTGATTTTGACAACAAACACACAGGAAAACACACATTACAGCATAGTTCAAAACAAAATAATAATTAATCATTTCTGAACATTGACTTTCAGTCTTTATTTACATGTTTCTCATGTTTTCTCAATAGAATTCATAAAAGTATAGAATATAATAGCATATTTCTAATAGGGGCACAATGTAACGCAGTGTGACAACATGCCCCAACTGCACATCTGGGGTTTAAACCCTGCTAGTTAGCAAAGCATAAAGGACTATATCAACTGTTAAACTACAGATTAGAGATTAAAAAAATATCAGATTTGTTTAATTTTAATTAAACACAAAAAATAGAGATGAAAAATTAACTTAAGTAGGAAATGTGCTTTTGCTATGGTTAAATGTTCAGTGATATCTCACAAAGATCTGAATTTTGGCGCAAATTTTTCTCTGTATAGTGTTGAAATGGCAACTAGTAAATACATCAAGTTTCGTCATGCTAGCGTGTGGAAGTGTTTAAAACAAGTGTGTTACAACTAGCCTACAGTCAGGGTTAGGAAGGTTACTTTGGAAATGAAGTTAACCCATTATAAATGTGGTTTAGATTAATTTATTTGGATTACTTTATCAATGTAAAGCAATTTCCTTTTAATTTGAAATTCCCCCTAAAGATTTACTAAAGTAATTCTGGGAAATGGCCTTACAATTACAATAGATCAAACTTATTATTTGTTCTGTGACTAGAGATTTTAACATTTATTGCTGGAGGAAAACATTTCCTGGTGGTTCAAACTTATATAATTTATATAATATGCAATCATATCTGACATACTTGTGAAGCTACATTGTTCAACACTTCACTTAAAATATCTATATGAATTTCTTAGAATTTTTATTGAATTGTAATTCTGCTTCCTTTAATTCAAATTCGAATTGTAATTCTACATCCTGTTTTTGACATCAATTCAAATTCAAGTATTGAATTGGAATTTAGTAGTCATTCTCAATTCAATTCTGAATTGTGCACACACACACACACACACACACACACACACAGTGCAGAATTTCGGCTGTTTTTATTGTGTGTGTGTATGCCCTGCTCATGTCCTGTCTTGTATTTTGCTGTGATCTTTAACTGGAAACAGTGTTCTGAATAAGAAATAAACACACACTGCACTGGCTGTTATATAGTCATATGGACTTCACTGTGTGTGTGTGTGTGTGTGTGTGTGCGTGTGCGCAGATGGGCAGTGAGGAGCAGCAGGAGCGTCTGCTCAGGGATTGGCTGGACTGCTGTGTGACGGAGGGCGGGACGCTAGCGGCGCTGCAGAAGAGCATCAGGCGCAGACGTCACCCGCTCGTCACACACATGCTGGAGAAGTGGCTCGACGGGTACCGGCAGACGCTCGCGTGCCCCTCCGACGGCGAGGACGACGACGACGACGACTGACGCACATCTCAGCACACTAGCGCTGTCACACGTACCGACTCCGGTACCTAGTTGAAGATGTGACGCTTTGAGCGCTGTTGCGGAATCGTGAACGCCTCTGATTGGCTGTTGTGTTCATGAGCTCATCGGATGCGTCTGATTGGCTGCAATGATACATGATACATCAATGACCCGAGCAGAACAGCCAATCAGAGGCGTTTACGATGACACTCAACAGCGCTCAAAGTGGCACGTTTTTGCAACTTCAGCAGCGACTTGGTACCCGAACTCAGTGCTTTTGACAAGACAACAACACACGCCACTCTTTCCCAGAATGCAATGCAACCCCCTCCCCAAACATTGAGGGCTATCTTTGTGTTTAGTCACATGAATTTGTTTTTTTCTGTACGTTTGTGTCCGTCGTGCTGCATGTGGCTCTTTAAACACGGAATGATGAAATATAAAGAGCTTATTAAACGAGCGCTCACACAAAGCACATACGCAGATGTTTATTGTTTAGAGGTTTCCGTAGAAACGCTAAAACTGACAGGAAGCAGCGTCACACTAACGACACGCACACCTCTCTCTCACCAGTGTTCCTGTTTCTGACACGTGTGCGTTTCTTTCTTCTTTTGATTGTATTTATTTTTGTCTGGATGCTGACCCCTGTGTTGACCTTTGACCTGTACTGATGTCAGGTGATCCAGAACAGCTTTAACATTAAAGTAGAAACACGTCTGCTGTCTCTCGCCTGCTGTCTCTTTATTCTTTATAAGTACGGTTTACACATTCGAGAGCGCAGAAATCATTCCCACAATCCACAGGGTGTTTACTCGTCATTGGTTAATCACACGCACACACACTTCCAGAAGTCATTCAAGCGTTCCGCTCAGAGAAAGCGAGTCCCTTCATGAACCTGCTGTGGTTTATTGTTCATCAGAAACTCCTCGTTCTCGCGTCGAGCCGCTACGGAAGCCTGTTGACATATTAGAAAAAACATGCTTTGGTAAATCCTTAAAATGTTAATTTGTCAATTAAGTTACTTGTATTTTTGACTTTGTATGTCATAAGTATTACTTGTGCCATAATTAGAACTTTATATCATAATTCGGACTCATAGTTATTAGCTACTTATGTCATGCTTTTTAAAATCAGTAATGGGTGACCCATACCTAACCCTGACTGACGTCATAATGACATTTATATTGTATAATGTGTGCTTAAATATGAAGCTGTGTGTGTGTGTGAGTGAGAGAGAGAGTTTTTATGTTAGTGTGTGTGTGTTTAAGTGTGTGTACTGAACTTTACCCATAAGGTGATTCCTCTGGTGATTCTCACACTGAGGGTCAAAGTTCACACTGACTCTGACGAGTGTGTGAGAATCACACCATATTCTCATATTCAATTATATATAGTTTAAATGAAGCCAGTTTAACAACCTGCTTTTCTCCTTTTCCTGCTGTGAGACATTCATGTTGTTACAGTCGTTATGAAGAGTTGTGGCTCAAAGACAGGATGTGCGCATGCGCATCAGTACACGTGTCAGTCTGCGCATGCGCGGCCGTACTACACGTGTTGCACAGAAGTCTTCCCAAAGAAAGTTTGCGAGTGTTTGCCGGCCGGCCTCATCGTTTTTCTCAGTGTCTCGGGACTTCATTCGCCTCCATGCCGCCGACGATACACCGCGGTTCGACAGCCGGTGAGTTCGGATCGGTTCTGATGCAACAGGTGACGCGTGCACGCGCTTCATCGGCAACCAGCTGGGAGCTGTCAAACTCAATCTGATTTATGCAAATACTAATTGTATTTTTAATGTAGTGTGTGACCTGTGCTTGAGCTCTGAGTTCATAGAGAAATGACGATATTTTGATTAGTTTAAGCATCTCACGCTTTGATCTCTTGTGTTTTGATTGTGTGCGCGCGCACAGTGCATGCACGCTTTCTGCATTTAAATGAACCATTTTTTTTTGCTCAAAATTCACTAAAGATTATTTAAAAATATTTTTAATCCCTGATTGCACATAGTTTTAGATTTTGTTTTAATCATTGTCACTGACTTATAATTTAAATTGTTATAAAACAGTTATTGAACTGAATTAAATTGAATCATATCTTCTGTAGAGCTGGTGTACAGCTGAAACTGAATGCGTGTCATATTTGATGAAGTTTCATTATTCTGTTATTTTCCTCTTTATTGACGTGAAGCTTCTTTTTATAGTCTGTCATGTAGCGTTACACAAATAAAGCTGACTGTGTGTGTGTGTGTGTGTGTGTGTGTGTGTGTGTGTGTGTGTGTGTGTGTAGCAGGAAGAGCGCCGTCTCTCCGGGATGAACTCGAGCAGCTCCTGCATCAGAGGATTCTGGTTCTGGACGGTGGAATGGGAACGATGATCCAGCAGAGGAACCTGGAAGAGGAAGATTTCAGAGGTCAAGAGTTCAAAGGTCATCCCAAGAGTCTGAAGGGCAATAATGACCTGCTGAGCATCACTCAGCCGGACGTCATCTACAGCATCCACAAGGTCTGTGTGTGACACCACTGGCCACGGTCGGTCCCCTCTATGAAACTGTGCGTGGGATCCGCGGTAAACGTGAATCTGCGGACAAAATATCGTACATCAAAAAATATTCAGGCGTATAAACCCGTACGTACGCCAGAATCCCCTTTATAACCCGTCAGAGGAAGAGTGTGTTCACATGCGTCTCCTCCCCGAAATAACCATATATGAGCTGACAACGCCTCGTTTACCATATCCTCATCTGCATATCATTTGCATATCCTCATCTGCATATCATTTGCATGTCCTCATCTGGATATTTTTTCGTTCATTGCACTAGTTTCTAACGGTGTGTGTGTGTGTGTGTGTGTGTGTGTGCAGGAGTATCTGGAGGCCGGCGCAGACCTCATCGAGACCAACACCTTCAGTAGCACCAGCATCGCTCAGCAAGACTACGGCCTGGAGGATCTGGTGAATGTTTGCTTTTATTGTGTTTGTCATTAAAGTGCTCCTGTATTACTGATTATGTGAATGTAAAGCTCAAGTTTTTGGCTCCTAAAAGAAAGAAGCGATTCTAAACTGAACAGAGTCATCAGTAATTCAGTCGCACTTCCTGCGTGGAATTGTAGCTAATTAGCATAATGTCCGCCTGTTGTCCTGATTGGCTGAGTAGCATCTCTTAGCTCCGCCCTCAAACACTAGTGTATCTGAGACTGGAAGAGTTCGGCTCGTGTTCATGTTTTCTGAGATTGATACGGTGAAACCCACGCCATCGTCACTGTTCAGATCACTGTGATCAAGAGCTGAGATTCAGATATGATAATGAGCGTTTGCTTTCTGACCAATCAGAGCAGAGCAGCTCTCAGAGAGGCGGAGCTTAGAGAGGCAGAGTCCTTGATGGAAGTGATTGACAGTACAGTGTTCATGACTTCACATGCTTCTGAACAACATTAGCAAGACAGGGCGCTTTAAATGATAAAACATGACTTGTCGAGTCAGTAACGTGTGTGTGTGTGTGTGTGTGTGTGTGTCAGGCGTATCGGCTGAATAAAGCGTCTGCTGAACTGGCCCGGAGAGCGGCTGATGATGTCACAGCTCAAACAGGTCACACACACGGCAGTCTCTCTTCATCTGATGGTAGCGTGATGTTCGTAGCGTTCGTGACGGTGTTGTTGTCGTTGGCAGGTTGTAAGCGGTTTGTCGCAGGAGCTTTGGGGCCAACCAATAAAACCCTGTCTGTGTCGCCGTCAGTGGAGAGACCCGACTACAGGAACATCAGTAAGACTGTGTGTGTGTGTGTGTGTGTGTGTGTGTGTGTCACCGTCAGTGGAGAGACCCGACTACAGGAACATCAGTAAGACTGTGTGTGTGTGTGTGTGTGTGTGTGTGTGTGTGTGTGTGTGTCGCCGTCAGTGGAGAGACCCGACTACAGGAACATCAGTAAGACTGTGTGTGTGTGTGTGTGTGTGTGTCGCCGTCAGTGGAGAGACCCGACTACAGGAACATCAGTAAGACTGTGTGTGTGTGTGTGTGTGTGTGTGTGTGTGTGTGTGTGTGTGTGTGTGTGTCGCCGTCAGTGGAGAGACCCGACTACAGGAACATCAGTAAGACTGTGTGTGTGTGTGTGTGTGTGTGTGTGTGTGTGTCACCGTCAGTGGAGAGACCCGACTACAGGAACATCAGTAAGACTGTGTGTGTGTGTGTGTGTGTGTGTGTGTGTGTGTGTGTGTGTCGCCGTCAGTGGAGAGACCCGACTACAGGAACATCAGTAAGACTGTGTGTGTGTGTGTGTGTGTGTGTCGCCGTCAGTGGAGAGACCCGACTACAGGAACATCAGTAAGACTGTGTGTGTGTGTGTGTGTGTGTGTGTGTGTGTGTGTGTGTGTGTGTGTCGCCGTCAGTGGAGAGACCCGACTACAGGAACATCAGTAAGACTGTGTGTGTGTGTGTGTGTGTGTGTGTGTGTGTGTGTGTGTGTGTGTGTGTGTGTGTGTGTGTGTGTGTCGCCGTCAGTGGAGAGACCCGACTACAGGAACATCAGTAAGACTGTGTGTGTGTGTGTGTGTGTGTGTGTGTGTGTGTGTGTGTGTGTGTCGCCGTCAGTGGAGAGACCCGACTACAGGAACATCAGTAAGACTGTGTGTGTGTGTGTGTGTGTGTGTGTGTGTGTGTGTGTGTGTCGCCGTCAGTGGAGAGACCCGACTACAGGAACATCAGTAAGACTGTGTGTGTGTGTGTGTGTGTGTGTGTGTGTGTGTGTCGCCGTCAGTGGAGAGACCCGACTACAGGAACATCAGTAAGACTGTGTGTGTGTGTGTGTGTGTGTGTGTGTGTGTGTGTGTGTGTGTGTGTGTCGCCGTCAGTGGAGAGACCCGACTACAGGAACATCAGTAAGACTGTGTGTGTGTGTGTGTGTGTGTGTGTGTGTGTGTGTGTGTGTGTGTGTGTGTGTGTGTGTCGCCGTCAGTGGAGAGACCCGACTACAGGAACATCAGTAAGACTGTGTGTGTGTGTGTGTGTGTGTGTGTGTGTGTGTGTCGCCGTCAGTGGAGAGACCCGACTACAGGAACATCAGTAAGACTGTGTGTGTGTGTGTGTGTGTGTGTGTGTGTGTGTGTGTGTGTGTGTGTGTGTGGTGTGTGTGTGTGTGTGTGTGTGTGTGTGTCGCCGTCAGTGGAGAGACCCGACTACAGGAACATCAGTAAGACTGTGTGTGTGTTCAGCGTTAGGGTAACATCTGTGCTGCTGTTTGTCACGAGTGTGTGTGTGTGTGTGTGTTCAGCGTTCGATGAGCTGGTGGAGGCGTATGAGGAGCAGGTGAAGGGTTTGCTGGATGGAGGTGCTGATGTTCTGCTGGTGGAAACCATCTTTGATACGGCTAATGCAAAGGTACGAGGACCTGACACACACACCTGACACACACCTGACACACACACACCTGACACACACACACCTGACACACACACACCTGACACACACACACCTGACACACACACCCCGAGGATTTCCCTGCTTCCTGACTCATCAGCAATTCACCTCATCAACTCTTCTCAACCAGGATGAATTATGAATGATGGATTAATTGGTGTGTAATTAATTAGTGTGATATTTCTGTATGATTGACTGATGTGTGTTTCCATCAGGCGGCTTTATTTGCAATCGACAGACTGTTTGAAGAGAGTTATGAACCTCGACCGGTGTTCGTAAGTCACTCACTCTACCTCATCTCCTCACCTGCGAGTGTGTGTGT